GATCAAGAAAGATCTTTGCACACTTTTCAGTAAAATGTATGAAAGGGAAGCATGAAAATATTAATTCACTTGATATTTACTTGCATGCTTATTCTAATTTCTCAGTTGTAAATAAAGTTACATAAAATGGCATTTGTTCTACAAAGTCATGTCTCAACTTTTCTTTTCTTACAGAGAAAATGTACGGATTATTTTTTTTTTTATTTATAATCATGAAAAAGTTATTTCAACTGTCAAAGTTTATGAAAGAAAAGCATATTTGCAGTATGGTGTGTGGTTAAACAAATAACAAATATGGCCGTTTATTTTTACTTTCTCCTGTTTTTCGTCAATATTTACTTTGGTTGCTGCTCATCTAAACACTTTACTGCTATTTGTCATTTGCATTTAAATGGTTGAGGATATATTCCATATTATGCAGACATTTTCTGCTTTTTTTTTTTTTAATTTTTTATTTTGCTTTTGTTTGTTTCTGTCCACTTTGCAAAATTATGTCTGTTTTTGTTTTTTTTAATTTTCAGCTTAAAATCTTGTAATACTGATTACATTGAAAATCTGTTACAAAACTGAACTTGAAATTTTCTATATCATATTTTTGTATGCATGGTATTTTTAATCTTAATTTTAATTTTGAAAAAGGTACTTATTTTTAGTATTGTTTTTATAATAATCACTTAGTGTTGACTGATTCTAGAAAGAATTTTTTTTTTTTTTGTTGCACTTTAGTCTTGACCATTTCCAAGTAGTTATTTCCCTTATTTTGATCAATTATGCCTAGAAAATGTGTTGAATTGTTTTTGTTGGAGTGTCTATCTTGTTACTCAGCAGATCAGTTAAGATAGACAGTCAGTGTATTGAAACATATTGGAAAATATTTTAATAAAGTTAAAAAAAAAAAATTCTGTTTTCAGAAGGACCTAATACAAATTCAATTAAGTCTAAATCTAATAATTTAGTCTAATATTGTTTGTTTGATATGTTTTTGTTATCTTTCAGTGGGATTGCAATCAATATGGCTATCATATAATATATGGCTGTGTGAATTTTTGCTTTCAAAGGTTTTATTTAGTTTCAATAACAATGTTTCTCCTTTTTTTTTCTTTTTTTAATTGATAATGCTTTATCAGTTTTATATTTTGGATTAACACATATTGGTGAAGAATAATACTTTGTGTGCTCGTAAGCAGATATTTGACATTTCTGGAGCATTTCTAAATTGATATGTTCTATACCTAGTCTGAAAGTTGACAATCTTAGTATTTAAGAACTGGTCTAACTTTCTCCTAGCACCTGGTATTTGTCAAGTGATAATCGTTTGAAGTCAATCAGAACTCACATGTTTAAACATTTGAGATTAGATGATCAGTTCTGGATAGTTGCTTTTTTTTTTTTTTTTTTTTTTTTTACTTCTTTTTGCTAGGAAAGTCACTGAAATCTTGTTGAAATGAATAAGTGACAGACAACACTCTTTTTCAGTTTTGGGGCCCTATAATACAAAATTAAATCAATTTTTTATCATATTTTGCCCATTTTTTTGTCTCTGAACACACAACTTTGGATAACACTAACAAAAAATACCTGATGTAATGAATATGCATACACCTGGGTTCCCCCTTACAGTAATATGATTGGCTGATGTCAGCCATAAATACAGACTGATGTGGAGGCACAAGACAACACCTATTGGCTATGCCTAGTGCCTAAACCTATTGCTTACCACTATGACGAGGACCAGTCCATTACCTGCTAGATTGTCCTAACTGGTTACAGTAGTTTGCTACTTCAAACAAATATATTCCTTTCCGGGATATATCAATGCCCAAGACAAAATTCTTTCTCCTTTTAGTTTAAGTACCGAAATATTAAAAATTGAAATCTGCAAAATGTAAGAAGATTGTTTCCAGGATGTTTTGGCATCAGATGTTGAGCACCAAAATATCAGTTTCTGACAGAACTTGTCTTTCTCAGAAAATCATGACCTACAATTCTATTCCTAAATTTTTTTTTTTTTTTTTTTTTTTTGTGCATGCTGGATTGATTTTTAGCACTATAAAGCCCCAGAAAGAAAATTGCAAAATCATTTAAGATTTTTCAGGATTTTTGAAATTTCGCTGCAGATCAAAACCCCTGTTTCTTAATTAGAAATGTGTGTGCATGTGTTTTTTTTTTTTTTTTTTAAATAGTACAAATATTAATACAGTTCCATAATTGAGCTGATTTCAGGAGACTACAAAAATCATAAATATCTGCTTTTTCCCTATTATGTAACAAGCAAAGTCTTTTATGTTTATATACAGGATTCAGTAATGATAAATTAAAATGAAGCCTCCTCAGCCCTTATCTTCTTTTTATTTGATTTTATTCTGATATATTATGCTTTGTCAGATTTTATTAAAGAAGTAAAACTGATAAAATTTTCAGATGTGTGTGTGTATATATATATATATACACACATCTGAAAATTTTATCAGTTTTATTTCTTTAATAATACATCTAAATTATCTAACAAAACCTGCAGGAAAAAATCTGCCTTGTCAGTCATGTATCGAAAGATACATGATCACCTACATGTGTATCACACATGACACATAACTGACTGATCTTAGGGGTTCACTTACTTTTGTTTTAGCATTAGGCAATAAATGTGTGAGTTTTAGCTTATAGCCTCCAGCAACCTAACCCATTATACAAAATATGAATAAATGGCCAAATATCAAAATTTTTTTCCCTTTGTGGTCTTGCTGAAAATTTTTATGCACTCCAGTGTACTTAGTTTTTTTTTTTTTTACTAATACTATATTAATCATTGTTACTCTTGTCTCTGCTACAAAAAAAAATGCATCTGTGACAGTCATTTGATTTGCTCACTTTAAAATTGTATCAAAGTAAATTTGAAAATTGAAGTCTCAAACATTTTGATCTATTTTTCTGCCACTCAATTTGAGTGCTGGATTGCTATGTGATATCTATCTTGCTGTATGACAGTTGTTATGAAATAAAATAAGACACATCTTGGCTGATTTGCAGACAAATAAACTAACATACTTAAGAGTGAGAGTTGGATGTGAACGGGACAAGGCTCCATCACAACATGACCATTATTGTCGTTTACGCATATTCCTGACGCACGAGTTCCGGTCGAAAAATATAATATTTTAAAGTTTCTATTTTTCGACCAATAAAAATGCTTCCCTCCTAATTATACTCGCATCATTTTGTGAGCCTGTTAAGCCATAAAAAATGCCATAAAAGGGGTCACAAGGGGAAGTACGACAGCAGTCAACAGGAGGCCAGGGAAGAGACCTGTCACTGTCAGTCAGCAGCAGTCAGCAGGAGGAGCGCTACGCCAACCAGTGTGAACTATTATGAGAGATCAACCTAGACTGGGAGCTGGCTTATGAACTATACCACAAGGTCGCTGTCCCAAACCCACACGTTCCTACTGAAATAAATCACGTAAATCTATTTCTGCTGTTGTCGTATTTCCTTCTTGCAACCATACGCTTGTCTATAACACAGTGAATGATGGACAATTTACCCACAGATGAAGAGAAAACTGGAGGCAGCAGAAACATGGTTCTTCAGAAGAATACTACGAATTCCATGGACGACACGAGTAAGCAATCAGAAAGTTTTAAAGAAAATGGCAACAAGAATACTTATGCTATGCTGTGATATAGAGAGTTGAAATGTTTTGAACATATAATGAGGAAGGAGAACTCGGAAAACTTGACCTTCACATGGCATATTAAGGTCAAAAGAGATAGGGGAAGGTAGCAAACCACTTACCTGACAAGTTTGTGTGAATGGATAGTGGAATAGTGAGAGCAAAGGGAGGAAAACTGTTAAAGGCCACAAGGGATAGAAAGCTGTGGAGAGCCATGATTGCACATGTCCTAAAGAAGAAGTCTTAATTACTGACTTCTAACATTAGCTTGTTAGCTGCTACAGTATATGTAATAGAGAAGAGATTTGCTAAAATAATATGTAGGTTATAGAATGCACTAAAACATTCAAGTGTATTACTTCAGAATAAATGTAAACTTTATGACATTAAAGTTTTTTTTTTCTTTTAAAGCAGTCTTTTATTGATATTGACAAAAATATTCTCTATATTGTCTATGATTTAACAGTGAGCAACAAACAAAATCCAAATTAAATTTATTTACTCTTACTGTTTGAAGTGTAATTTTAATTTGTATATTAAGGAGCTTTTGTATATTTACGATTTCTACTTTTATGATTGAGGCATCTGTATTGCTTCAATCATCATTCAGTTGTAATGTATTGAATTTATCTCCATGTTGTAATCTAAATTAGATGTCCAGATCATAGAAAAATAATATATGGTTTTATTAATCATTTTTTTCCTTTCAGGAAAATAATGCAGTATTTTTGAACTCCAAATAATACTTGATTGTGACATAAAATGACTACTTTTGAAACCTAACAGAATTTCTATTAAATTCTTTTTATAATTAATTATTTTTCAACCAAAGCAGTGTCAATTTAACAAATGGATTTTCAATTGAAGTGTTAAAAGAGTAAGCAATTTATTTTTATTATGCTTTAATATTTTCTCTACTTTTCAATACAGCTTACATAAAATGGTTGCGGTAATATTTTTGAATAGTTTTAAAAAATTTTGTATTCAGTTTTTAAAGTATTAGAATAAAAGAAATACAAAAGACCTCTGAAAAATTCCCAGCCTAACTCACTTCCTCAAATCTGACCAAATTATATATATATATATATATATATATATATATATATATATATATATATATATATATATATTTTTTTTTTAAAAAACTCATCTTGAACTTTTCGCCACCCTCTGTATATTTAAATCTATACATTAAGAATAAAATTTGCTACTGAAAATATATATATATATATATATATATATATATATATATATATATACTGAGACTTTATATTTTAATATTTTTATGCTGTAACCATTTCATTTATTTTCTAATTTTTTGCTTTATTTTTAGTTATGTTCGTGGGAAATCCTTCCTTTCGCCAGGTGATTTGCTTAAGTTTCTTAAGCAGCAGCAAAAGGTTAGATTTTTTATTATCTATCAATTTGTCTATATGTAAATACCTATATATACATCTACAAATTATTGTAATATCCTCTTGTATTTTAATGTTTTGATTGATATGTTATTTAGTTTTGTATCCTTGAATTTTGTCCAGCACATTTTTTTTTCTTGAACTTCCTTAATGGGTCTACTGAAATATAACCTCTCTGAAGAAGACCAAAAAACTATCTGTTGAAATGTCATAAAACAATAGAGATTAATATATGGTCCTGATAATAACGGTATTTCAGACTTATAGTTATTGAAGACACAAGGCCAGACAACATTGATCATAAAAAGTACTCATTAGTGTCTGGTAATCGATGTGATATACCCTAGAGGTGATTTCATTGCAGGTAAAGAATTTTGAACTATGCCGAGTTGAATGAAATTAAATGTTGAGAAAATGTGGAATGTATATGTTAAAGTTATGCCAATTGTCACCAGAGCCATTGGGTGGATTCCAAAGAAATTCCAGAAAAAATTTGATACCATCGGAATCACACCCGGTATAACAATGTTACAGAAAACAACTATTTATCTTTGGCACATCAAGTTTTCTGCAGAAAATGTTTGCTGCCTGACATCTTGAGACTTAACAGGGTGTCACTTAAAATTACTTCCAATGTTTGAAACCACCACCAGGTAAATAATAATAATAATAGTTACAAAAACAATGGTTAGCATTTATTTTTTAAATGTTATTTTGTTTCAGTTCACTATTTATTTATTCACAATGAAAAAGTATTCAATGTTTAATTTTTCTAGGAAAAGAATGTGACAGAAGAAATGTGCAAAGAGTGGATTCAGAAATTTGAACCAGATCCTTGCTACAAACAGCAAATAAAACTCAGTTTATTGGGTGAGTAATATACAAAGAATAAAATCCAGAAAAAAGATCTATTTTTCTAGGTGCCACTGAAGACTAATGTCCATGATTTTTATAGTATTGGAGTTTTAATAAGTAAATAAAGTTTCATTTTTTTTTTCTTTTTTTTTTTTTTTCTAGAAAAGACCCCAAAGGCTGACTCTTTTTCAATTATGCTTGCCATGAAAAATAATTCACTAACTCCTAAATTAGAAAAGAGATTTTCAGCTATTTAAAAAAAAATCTATCAGTAAATAGCTGCATGATTACTGGACTAATCTGAAATCCAACTAAAAAGATATTCAAGACTGTTGAAGGGAATGGTTGGAATTTCCCAAGATTGTTGTAAAAATTTCACTGCAAATTAATAGCATATATTTGTTTCCAGTCAAAACAAAAACAAAATGCAGCTTAAGGTTTCTATTCCTCCCCTCTTCCTTCTCTTTTTGCCCTCGCCTCTTCCTTCTCTTTTTGCCCTCGCCTCTTCCTTCTCTTTTTGCCCTCGCCTCTTCCTTCTCTTTTTGCCCTCGCCTCTTCCTTCTCTTTTTTGCCCTCCCTCTTCCCTCTTCCTTCTCTTTTTGCCCTCGCCTCTTCCTTCTCTTTTTGCCCTCGCCTCTTCCTTCTCTTTTTCCCTCTTTTTGCCCCTCTTCCTTCTCTTTTTGCCCTCGCCTCTTCCTTCTCTTTTTTGCCCTCGCCTCTTCCTTCTCTTTTGCCCCTCGCCTCTTCCTTCTCTTTTGCCCTCGCCCTCTTCCTTCTCTTTTTTGCCCTCGCCTCTTCCTTCTCTTTTGCCCTCGCCTCTTCCTTCTCTTTTTTGCCCTCGCCTCTTCCTTCTCTTTTTGCCCTAGCCTCTTCCTTCTCTTTTGCCCTCGCCTCTTCCTTCTCTTTTGCCCTCGCCTCTTCCTTCTCTTTTGCCCTCGCCTCTTCCTTCTCTTTTTGCCCTCGCCTCTTCCTTCTCTTTTTGCCCTCGCCTCTTCCTTCTCTTTTTGCCCTCGCCTCTTCCTTCTCTTTTTGCCCTCGCCTCTTCCTTCTCTTTTTGCCCTCGCCTCTTCCTTCTCTTTTTGCCCTCGCCTCTTCCTTCTCTTTTTGCCCTCGCCTCTTCCTTCTCTTTTGCCCTCGCCTCTTCCTTCTCTTTTGCCCTCGCCTCTTCCTTCTCTTTTTGCCCTCGCCTTTCTTTTCTTTTGCCCTCGCCTCTTCCTTCTCTTTTGCCCTCGCCTCTTCCTTCTCTTTTTGCCCTCGCCTCTTCCTTCTCTTTTTTCGCTTCTTCTCTTCTTCTTTTTTGCCCTCCGCCTCTTCCTTCTCTTTTGCCCTCGCCTCTTCCTTCTCTTTTTGCCCTCGCCTCTTCCTTCTCTTTTGCCCTCGCCTCTTCCTTCTCTTTTGCCCTCGCCTCTTCCTTCTCTTTTTGCCCTCGCCTCTTCCTTCTCTTTTTGCCCTCGCCTCTTCCTTCTCTTTTTGCCCTCGCCTCTTCCTTCTCTTTTTGCCCTCGCCTCTTCCTTCTCTTTTTTTGCCCTCGCCTCTTCCTTCTCTTTTTTGCCCTCGCCTCTTCCTTCTCTTTTTGCCCTCGCCTCTTCCTTCTCTTTTTGCCCCTCGCCTCTTCCTTCTTTTTTTGCCCTCCTTCCTCTTCCTTCTCTTTTTGCCCTCGCCTCTTCCTTCTCTTTTTGCCCACCGCCTCTTCCTTCTCTTTTTTGCCCTCGCCTCTTCCTTCTCTTTTTGCCCTCGCCTCTTCCTTCTCTTTTTTTGCCCTCTTCTCTTGCCCCTTCTCTTTTGCCCTCGCCTCTTCCTTCTCTTTTTGCCCTCGCCTCTTCCCTCTTCCTTCCTTCTCTTTTTGCCCTCGCCTCTTCCTCTTTTGCCCTCGCCTCTTCCTTCTCTTTTTGCCCTCGCCTCTTCCTTCTCTTTTTGCCCTCGCCTCTTCCTTCTCTTTTTGCCCTCGCCTCTAAAATTATGGATGTTAGCTTTTGATGAGGGCTATATCACAAAAAGCACCCCCTCAAAAAAGAAAAAAGAAAAATAACAACAAATGTTTTCTTAAATCCACTTCAGTTTTTTTTAGATTTATCTTTTTTTAAAGACATGGTTTTACTATTGTTTCAGAAATTTGTATAATTCTTTGGCCTGGTGGCATCCTTAAGTGTTTATTTTATTTTTTTTGATAGAAGTGTAAAAAATTTTAACAGAATATAACTATAATTTTTAAACAGAAGATAATTATATTTTCTGATATTTCAGGTGTTTTTATTCCTTGCAGATGAAATAAATTTAATAATAACCATATTGATATTGAATGTGTAGGCAATTTACTGCTTGGGCTCTAAGAATAATTTGAATTCCAATCATATTCGCATAGATATCCTTAGCAAAGTTATGAATCCATCTCTTTTTCTCCTCAGCTATGGATTAAATTAAAAAGTTAAGTCATACAGGAGGAAAGATATGTAACAGTACAATACTCTTTTCTTTGTTTCTAATGAAATTTTTCTGTCTCTTTATACTCTCAGTATCATGTTAAATTAGGCTGCTTGATTTTATGATGGGATTTTGTTTATTTTCTTGTTTTTCATTACTATTATTAACAATATAAATATGACTATTGAGACAAATATTTTTTTTATTATTGACTTATATGGTAACATATTGCTTTTGATTCAATATGAGAATATTTAAAATGCAGTGACTCCTATAATTCAGCTGTTGGAAAATAATCATTGATATGTATTCAGTTAAAATTAAGGTAATTTAACTTCAAATTTTTTAATATCTCTGGGATATACAGCTTTTACCACTGGGCTAATAACATTTAGAGAAATTACAAAGGCACTCTATATCATATATCTATAATATATCTATAATATCTATTATAATTTAAAAAATTATATCATCTTTGAATTAAATATTTACATACAGCAATAACTATGGAGTAAGATGCTTGAAAAATGGTTGGCTTTCTGTACTGCTCCAGTAAGTATTTGACTCCTCATGCTATCCTCTACCTTTACAAGAGCCAGATTGGGACGAGAATGGAGTACTGTTGTCTTATATGGGTGGGAGCTGCCAAGTCCTCACTTTCTAGTCCAGAAGTGTCTTTGAGCCTTTGACAAATTATTTTCCACCCTCCAACTTCACTCTCACAGATGGGATTTGGCAAGACTCTCACTGCTCTATAACTACTTCCATAGAAATTGCTTAGAGGAACTGCATTCCTTGGTTCTACCAGTCCTAACCTTCACAGCTAGGACCTACCATGCTACTTACATTGTAGCAAACCACCAACATTCCTTCTGTATTCCATCGGTAAAAAGTAAGTTCCTGCAAACCACTGCTCTGTAGAACATACTCCCAAGTGGATGTTTCTCCAATCACAACAATCTTATCCTATTCAAGTTTAGGGTCAACCATGATCTTTCCTTCCTATATGTATAATCTGCCTCTTAATGTAACCCTCTTACCTGGCCTTGAACCTCATTGTAAAAAAAAGAAAAAGTATTAATTTTATACAACAAATATTCATTTTTAATATAATCTCCTTCCATGTCAATTCTGTTGTGAATATTAATTGCATATATATATATATATATATATATATATATATATATATATGTGTGTGTGTGTATATATATATATATATATATATATATATATGTGTGTGAAAATTTTAGATAAAATTTAGCTAACTACTGTGTCTGATTAACCTTTAGCACTCTGTAGGTGACTATTTTTGGCAAGCAAAATGCTAGTCCTGTCATTGCAAGTTTAATTTTAATTTCTTGGTTGTGTAGTCCTATCTTTCTATGGCAATGCTTAAAACAACTTGGATTGAAATTGAGAGCCGGGATACTTCAATTTCAAATATATAAAACTATATTTTGAGGGGATTCCATATATAGTAAAAGGGGAATTAATATCTATAAATGATACAGAGTGCTAAATGTTAATTGATCATTAATGCAACTTTTTAATATATAAAATGGATTGTATACTTTAATTATTACTGCAATCTCATATTTTTTTATTTTTTGTTATTCAGTCTTGTGAATTGTGGAATTTTATTTTAGAAAGGTATTTTCTTTTATATGATTCAATTATCTGGTCATTATGGGTTTTTCAAGTAAAATTGTGACTATTTAATTGAACCAGGAATGTTTAAGGTAGTTCCTCTTTTACTGGAAAGAAGCGGTTGTTTTTATCCTCCACCATATCCTGGTTGTAATTGTTACATATCAGTCTAGACAAGAGTAAAAGCTTAACTGATTAATACTGTTACCTAAGTGAAATAATGCTTAGCTTTCAAGTGTTTTATTTATTTAAACAAGGAAGAATGTGACCTCAAATTATATTCTTCTGCTCTACCCAGGTGACAGTAACCTTTTGTATCTCTCTTGTACTAGTGGTCAGATACTGGCAAACATAAATTAACTGACAGCTGATAGTAGATGTACTTAATTATAGCTGATAGTAGATGTACTTAATAAGTCAACTTCTAGTGTTTAAAAAGACTGAAGTATAAAAAGTTGAAGTGCTTTTTAGCATTTAAACTTGAAAAGCATTTTCTGGATTTTTTTCAAAATTTATTCACTTGCATTAAAACAAAACTACTCCACAAGACTATATTTAGTGAGGATTGTAAGATGACCATGTTTTCAGTTGTCATATGAAGAGATATGGACAAAATATATAAAAAAGGGTATAGAGATTTCTCTGTAAGATCAGCCTGTTTTCAGCTGTCATAAAGATGTATTCTCTTTATTCTTAAAAATGTCATGTCTCTTCCAGATGTAGGTGATCATGGCGCTTTACACTTTTTCTTTATCTGTGAATTGTCATACATTCTTGGGAAATGTAGCAGAGTGGCTTTCTCATTGCTTCTCCATGGTTTGAAATTAAGTTTTCCTTATTTTAGACGTGTTGCCAACCAAGGCAAGAGAGCCAAGTCTACTCTGCTATTTAACCTATAGCTGAAGGCAGGGAGAAGAGATTGCATCATGTTTTCCCTAAGCAAATGTGAACGCAATATATTTGCCTGGAATTTGAACACAGCATGCAAATTCCATTTTCTGTGCTGATAACCATTACAGTACCACACATTCATTTTATTTAATTGGAAATAAAATTACCAGAATGTATTTTTTTTTATTGAAAGTTGCAGCATAGAAAACATATACCCAGCAAAAAATTTTATATATATAGATTAGCCACTGTCTAAAATTAAACCGTGTTAGTAGAATGGATTCACTACACCTGCAGTACATCACTTATTTTATTGACTTTGTCATGAATAACATTCTTTTTCAATTTTTTTATTTTTTAGGTTTTCAATTGTTTATGGCTTCTGAAGAACAAAGCATTTTTAATCCTGCATGTGCTCAAGTTTATCAAGACATGAAAAAACCAATCTCTTACTATTTCATTAATTCTTCCCACAATACGTAAGTAGAGAGTTTCTATCTGAATTTCTGAAATGATGTATTATTTGAAATATTCAAACTGTTGTCCACATGTTCGGACTTATAGTCATACAGTTTCAAGCACTGTAACCACCAGTCTTCTTCAGGCACCTGTCCTATTCACTAACATTCTCAGAATTTTAGACTGAACTATAAGAGTTACTGTTCTCATTCTGCTGTCCATACAAGTGAATATTTCATATTACTTAATGATTTTCTTATTTCATCCTTTAACAGAACAATGGCTTAATTGATATTAAGTGTTGGTTGCATTTTATTTGATCAGGCAGTGGAGTTCATGTACTCAAGAACAGATGAACTCATATTAGTTATCTCCCCTAGCATGGACATAGGAATTAAAACAGTCTTCCTTCATGGCTGGCAGCCTTATATCATGGTTGTGAAAGCTTTCTGATTGTTTAGTTGAACCATCTATTTTTAGAGATGGTGAAATTTTGGTCTGCTTGTTATTATTTGTTTATTTCTTTTCTTATGTCTTAGTTGTGAAAGCTTTCTGATTGGTTGGTTGAACTATGGCTTTGTTTCTCTGATTTTTATTATCTACCTATTTTAGGGATGATGAATTTTTTTTGTTTTATTTTTGTGTATTTATTTCTTTGTCATCACAAATTGGACAACTCAGTCAACTTGAACTTCCAAAAAATGTTACCAAATATGACAGTCACCTAAGATTTAGGGTTAGAACAGCCAAAATGCTGTGACTATCTGTCATGTTTCTCTCGTTCACTTGCAGAGAAAGCATAGTGATAATCCAAATAGGTTAATTAACTGTCTCTCCAACAGTGTATAATGGGCAAGGACAAATGCAAAAAGACAACCAAACTGCTCCACTTGCAATAATTATATAGTAGTGCAATTAGAACATTCTTCAAATTTCCATTCAATTCTGTTGGACAGATTCACATATATGCAATCTACATCAGCAAGTTTGCATGCTAGCAATTTGCATTGGACAGATCTAGATGCTAGCAATTTCCACAATACTGTCACAACCAAAGACAGTGGTTCAAATGAGTTCATGTATGATAATGTAAGATAATTTGACATGAAGTTTTTTTTCTGCATTCATTTCAAGCAACACAGATGTTTATTAATTTTCTGGTTTGTAAGCATATTTTCTCTAAGGAGTACATCAAGGCATAACTTTTTTATAATCAATTCAAATTGATATTTTCAATTTAAATAGCCATTTCTGATACTTCTATTATTTCAAAGGTATCCATTACCTTAAACATGTTAAGTTTTCTTTTTGGTGATTTGTTATATTAATCATAATTTTTGTAAAATTCCATTAGCTTATAAGTTTCAAATCAGCAGGTATCAAATCCTGTGGCATGTTTTTGTATAATATTTGCTTCGACCAATTCATTTATTTATAAAAATCAATTGTCAAGATTCTGTGCTGTCATTATTTGTTATTTCTATTGTCTTTGAGCTTTCCATGATTGTGGCTTACTGAAAATTTCATAGGTGTGAATCAAAGCGGAATAATTGTTTAAGCTATGAACAAGTAATATTTATGCTCATATTGTTAGCCAATCAGGTCAATCTCCACTTGGTGTTTGATAAATATAATTCTGACAGATTTGGACAAGTTCAAACAAGTGTGCATTTGCTGGTTCTAAATAGAAAAGACGATTTGTTTGAAGAGATAGCTGTGTTCATCACTTGTACCAGAGTGATAAAAAAATTTGTTTTAAAAAAGCAAAAGCTGAATTATTGCTGTTCCTTAAGACTAAACCACAGAAATCTTGAAAGAACGCAACTTCCAAATTTTTGTTCAAACAGTAGAACATCTCCATGTTCTTGAGATTGTTGTCACAGTATTTTAACCAATCAGCTTTTGACAGCTGCATAAACCATAAGAGGCTGAAGCATGGATTAGTTAACAACATTAAGTAGTTAAATTATCTGAACAAAATTTCCAATAATTTATGTTGGTATTTTTTAAATGAGAAACTATATACTTTCTATTTAGACTAGAATGTTCATGTTAGTTATTTTTATTTACTGCTCAGGGTAAAAGGTTACAAGGCTCAGGGTAAAAGGTTACGGAGATTGATTCTAAGGGAGAAGTCAAAGTATTATGAGGATGAGTAAAATAAAAATCAGTTCACCTTGGATTTAGAGACCAAGATTGTAGCATTCTCTCAGGAATTTGTTCCACAAAGTAACAGTTCTGGGGAGGTAGCTGTTTGAGTTGAACTTGTTTTTTATCAAAGGAACACAAGAGGAATGTGTATGATTTGTTACCAGGAACATGGCATGATGGGTTCTAGTTATAAAGGTCTTAGCTAGTAGCACTAACGACTGTAACATATCCAAACATATGGTCATAGTATTAGTGATATAATTGTGAAAGGCTGACAACTTTTTTTTTTCCTGTGGGATAAGGGTTGCAGGGTGGAGGATAATTCAACACCCACATGGCTGCATAAGTGCTTTTGATCTCTGTCAAGGCTGGACAGTGAGGGTACTATACTTGCAACATTTTGACCACTGTATTCTTCAGCCTTCTAGTGTAAACTGTATACAGTAAACTTATCTAGAATTTTTAACCTTTTTCTTAGTCTGCTTTCTATGCTTAGGGGAGATATAAATAATTTATTTTCTCTTGTCCATTTGCATTTGTGTCACTTATCTTTTTCTTCCACTGAATCAGTGTATATTACTTTTCCATACTACTTGACCCAGATTTTGAATTTACAACTGCAGGAAACCACATACTTTAATCAATGGTTTAATCCACTTGGCCAAGAGTCTCTTTTGAGTATAACTTCCATGAGAATGTTGGTCAGTATAGAATGGTATTTCTAAAGAAGTCATGGATTTTTTTATTTATTATTCTCACAGATTTTATTACTTAATCGTTATTTTAGTGGATACCATGGTGTTCTATATTAGTATAGTATGCCATGGTGCCTATCCATATTTTGAGACTGTAAATGAAAAAAAATTATACTGTTTAATAAATAAGTGCAGTGTCTACTCAAATATGGGTATCCACTAAAAATAACATCTAAGTAATAAAATCTGTCAGGTTAAAAAAAATTCATCACTTCTTTAGAAATTGCTTTGTTTACAAAACTGTGCAAATATAAATGTTTTGAGAGTCTGAGAAAGCTCTGAATTTATAAGGCACTATTTAACTTGGCTGAGTTGGTTGGATGTAATGATGGTTTGCTAAGACCCTCAGCCAATTTTTTTGATAATTTATTTAATCCTCCCCATAAGAGAAAATAAATATGCAATGTCAATCACTATCTACTATCCTCCTGATTACTCTTTTGTTCTTGCTCCTTAGAATGTTTCTGTTTGCTAATACTTCCACACCCAGTACCCACTTGTGTCTTAGTAGATTTACTTCCTTGCTTGGGGTGAATGCAATGGTTTGAATACTAAATCATTAATCTGGAAACATGATTTTAAATTTTGAATTTTTAAGTCCGCTATTTGAGGTGACTCATTTACATATAAAGTCACAAAGACTATAAATAGCTATGACTATTACCCATGAGGCAGTTGAGTGCATACTACTTTACACAATAAGGTAATATGTCACCAAGATCTAGCATACTGAATGAATAATTATCATTTGATAATTATGAATACTAGCAGCTAAAGCCAGAATGAAAAAGCTAAAGGATTCAACATCGATTGAAGGAGAAAATCAAATAATGGACATCTTGTTGGCAAGCTAGTTGTGAGGCTTTATAAAATTATCAGCAATTTCACACCCAAGACAGAGGAAATGACGTTTGATGATATAAGTCAACTAATGAAAACTAGTGAAAAACATAACACCAAAAAAAAACAAAAAAACTAGTGAATGCAGAGAAAGCTAAATTTATGAATATTTCTCAAAAAGTGAATGAACTGTTAATGAATATGTTCTTCATTTAAAACAAACCACTAAATATTGTGAATTTGAGAAACTGGGATCAGAAAACCAGTCAATCGAAGAGGATTTGATCCAAGTGAAATGAAATTGGTAAATGGCCTTCAAAATGAGGAGCATCAGCAAATGACTCTAATGTATTTACAGTTGTGGAAAGTTGTCACTAGAACTGTCAAATTTGTTCAGCAACAAGAATTAATTGGAAAATTTAATAGAACAAAAATTAAGGATCTGGCAAAGGAAATGGATATATATATATACAATAAGGAAAAAAATAGAATAACGTGTATCTATTGTGGATATCAACATCAAAGAAAAAACAAATGTCCAGCAAATTAAAAAAAATCTAAAAAGGGTATCAAAATGAATCACTTTAAAGATATGTGTAAATCCAAAAGGAAAAACATAGAGATAGTCCAACAAAATGAAGCAGAAATAAGTATGAACATCTTTTCATTGACAAAAAAAAAAAATAAATGAAAGGGTTATTAAAACCTGAATCGATAATGTTTTATTGGACATGCAACTAGATACAGGAAGTGACATGATGTTGATACCCAGAAATTTCTGAAAGAAATTAGGAAAACCAAGATTAAAGAAAAGCCATGTCCAATTGAATCAATTTGATGGATCCATGATAAAAACATTAGGCTATTTTGAAGTCGATGGGGAACTAAAAAATAAGTTTGATGTATTACCAATTATTGTGGCAAACTGAAAAGAATTACAGTCTAATAAGAAATTATGTATTGAACATAAATTCAACAAAATTAGTGAATTAATAGGTCAAGGCAGAAGAAACTGGGGTGTTAAAAAACTATGAAGCAAAGTTAAGACTAAAGGAAAATGTCTTCCCACACATATTTTGAAGCACAATAAGTGCAAGTCCATTTACTACCAATAGTTGTAGAAAAACTAAAAAAATTACCAGAACAAGTTCCACCAAGAGGGGAACCAATGACCCTTCCCATTAGTAATTTTAAGAAAGAAGGATGGGGATCTGTGCATATGTGGTGATTACAAAATAAGTTTAAACCACAAAATATGTGCAGATTCATATCCAATCCATAATATAGAATGGGCTTTGAGCTCCCATGTGGGTATGAAAACATTCTCTAAAATTGATATAAAGTTGGCATACCATCAAATACCTATTGATGAAGACTTTAAAGAAGTGACAAAAATAAACACACCAATAGGCTTAAGATAGAAAAGAATGCTGTATGGAATTAAAACTGCAAATGCAATTTTTCAAAGGACTATAGTGCAAGATATTGGTAGTGATATAAAAAGATAAAATATGCTACCAGAATGACATTTGTGTTTGTACTATTAATGATGAATTAAAACACCTGCATATTTAGTATGAAGACTGACTCCATTACAACTGGTATCTACTCAGTCCCCGCACAAACTTAAGATTATTATGGGGAACTGATTGTTTCCACTCAGGCCATTGGTCAAAATTTACCCAGCATCTGCGAAAGCCAGCTCTGGTACATTACTTGTCTGCTTTTCTCAGCCAAATCTCTATCCAAAGACAGAGCCTTGACTGAGTCACCCTATGCCTGAATATGGTGGTCTTGTCACCCTCTGCCCAAAGACAGAGCTCTTGCCTGTTGCAAACCTGGCAGTGAACTGCCTGACTCCAATACGACTGGTATTTACCGGTTGCTCCACTGTGGACCAGATGCAACACAAGGTCAAATTTTATGTGGGGAAGCTGAGTATTTCCATTTGGGCCACTAGTCAAAATTTAACCAGTCTTTGCAAAAGCAAGCTTGGGTACAGTGCTTATGTTTTTGTTTTTTTTTCAGCTGAGTTGCTATCTAAAGACAGTGCCCCGTCTGAGTCACCCTCTGCTTGAAGACAGAGGTCTTGTTGTGAGCCTGGAACTGACTGTGCTTTGACTAGTATTTGCTAAATCTCTTCACAAGGCAGTATGTGGTATAAGGCTGGTTTTACTTGGGGCAATTCTGAGCCCATAGTCTTGGGCAAAAATTCCCTTTAGATCCCACATACACAGGGTGGGGTTTGTCTATCTCTCCAAATGACATTCTGCCTATAGTTTATCATGAGCCTGGCAGTGAACTGCCTGATTGTGATTTGACTACTCCTAACCTCATACCATGGAACTCTTTATAGTATTGCATGAGTTCATATAGTCACCAGAGGTGTACTCTTTACCCCACAACATCCACTTTTGAGATTACTACTTTATTAAATAAATATATTTTTTATTTTTATTTCATATTAGTATATCCCCCTCCTCTTTCACCAATATACTTTACTTTTATAGTGTTTCCGTCTTGGATCCACTTTTAGTTCTTCTGTACATTTTCTTTTCCTAGAACTTGTCCTTGTTTGTTCCATGATTTGTTTTGGTACTGGCACATTAAAAATGTCATACAGCATTTTAATTGGTTCTTTAGGTTTTTCATTACTTAATCTTTCCTTCAGCTGATTTTGGTACCTTTTATGTTGGAATTTTTTTCCTCTCACCTTGTAGACCAATTTTCCAGTTGTAGCTGATATTATGCCATCTTCCTGTGTTTCCTTTCCATCCTTATATGCTTTAAATAATACTTTATTGCTGACCTTAAAAGTATTGGTGTTGCTTTTATTAACCATGATTTTCCACCTGGCAATAATTTGTTGAACACTGATTTTAACTAAGGGGATAAAAATTCTTTAGTACAGGGAGACGAGGTGACTCATTTACATATGAAATTATAAAAACTATAAATAGCCATGATGCAGTTGAGTGCATACTATTTCCTGTGAGTAGGTAACACTAAATGACACTACTTGTTTAACATTTAACCATTTTATGGTTATAATAATAGCAGCCTTTAAATCTATTACTAGTCGTCTTGTCAGAAAACAACTGGAGATAAGTATGCTTCCTGTTCTGAAAAAATATTTACATCTTTAATTTTTTTTTTTTTTAACTTTTTTCTGATATAATAAGCTAAAAATTGACATATTTTAAGATAAAGCTAATATTTTTAAAATTATTGCAGGTATCTGACAGAAGACCAACTGAGTGGTCCGAGTAAAGTGGAAGCTTACATCAGGGCCCTGCAGAGAGGCTGCCGATGTGTAGAATGTAAGTTTTTTTTTTTTTTTTTTTACCTTTTTTTTATATATTTTGCTATTTGATATTTATTGCCATTGACTAAACAAGGACAATTTTATTAGAAAGCTGACATTTGTTTTCAGAGTGTTGGTTTAAGCAGGAACCAAAATATAGGTAAAAAATTTTGACAGTAACTCTCTTGCATATTCAAGAACTAACAAAGTACTTTTACTACAGACACAAACATTGAGTTTCACTAGAAAGGGCATAGTTTTTTTTTTACCTTATGATGCATATTTATTGAAGGAAACTGATTTATTTGGCTAATGGCTGCAGTATATAAATATCAAATAAAGAAGGAACAAATATTATTTTTCCTTAAATGACAAGAAATATTTATTCAGTAAACTTTGCAAAAATATTTTAAAGATCAGAAAAAAAAACTGTTCATTATTCATGAAATTGCAAGTTTTGTTTTTGCTTTTCAGCAAAAGCAAGAATGTTAATTTAGGCTGTAGCAGTTGGTCATTTTGTTATTTTTCATTACATCTACTGATTGTTATCATTTTTGTTTACTTTATATACATCTTTTCATCAACAATATATTTTTGCTATATTGTTTAAGAGAGAAAAATGAGCCAATGTGGATTTAAGTATTTGTAGAACTTGCGAATTATTATAAAAATTGTTTAAACCAACTAGAATTTGAACAAGTTTTTTTAATAATTCTGGAGTCGTTTATACAAAACTGAATTGTATTATAAATTTTATGTAGAAAATGGAAATGTTATCTTTTGTTTAACATAAATATTATACAAATTTACACAAGTTGTTTCTCTTAGAAATTTTGATGTGCCAAACCCTACATGCAAGCCGCTAGTAGACCACTGGCGGGCTGCTGATGGAAATGCTAGTGGCTGCCAACAGTGGGCCTCTAGTGGTCTGCCAGTGACAACATTACCAAGATGAATACGCTGGCAGCCCGAGGGCAGTAAAAGTTAGTGGCATGTCACCCAGTGGCAGATTGGTAGCTTGCATGTAGAGAAGTCTGGCATAAGGTTATATATTTAGAGTACAACTGAAGATCATTTAGATTGTATAATCAATATGTTTTTTAGGTCATTAATCATGGATACTTGTTAGTTCAATTTGAACTGATATTAATTTACTTTAAAATTAATCATTTTTTTCTAAATTTAATGTTGAAATGGAAGGTTAATATTTTACTTATTATAAGGGAATATAATTTGTGGATTATCAGTATTTGATTAATAGTCAAATATCCATTATCTATAAATTTATCTTTTAAGAATGGCTATCATTTTTAATGAAATTTTCATAGAAAATAACTTATAAAAATAAAAACGTTTTTATACATTTTGTCAAATTTTATGTTCATTTCTATATTTGTTTATTTTTTATATGTGTCTCCATTTTACTGATATCAGATAATATTTGAACATTTCTTTCATTTTAGTGGATTGCTGGGATGGTTCTGAAGATGCTCCAATCATTTACCATGGCCATACCTTTACATCCAAGATAAGTTTGGATGCTGTTCTCATGGCTATCAAGGAATACGCTTTCAAGGCATCTCGGTAGGTGCAATTTATTTTTAGGCTCAAACCTTTAAGCTTTAATTATTGCTAATTATACAAGCTAGTTATTGAATTCATCTCTAAGCTTCTTATCTTTTGATTTGTAATAATTACAGCTCAATGCCTTCCATTCACAAGAATATTTCCTGATTTGTTAACAATTTTATAAAGGGAAATGCATTTCTCTTGAAATCTTTGTTTATATTAAACCAAATTATAATCTTCCATATAATTTCTGTGTATGTGCTAAGTCAATAAATTTGTAGCTTAATGATGAAAAAAAAAAAAGAAGCATTTAATTTACAAAACAAATGTTTATTTTTAAGTATAACATCACAGGACAAGACATTTTATTCAGTGATGAGTGATTGTTAATAATATGCATTGAACATTATACAATCAAGGAGTAATTAAGTTGAAAGATGGCAACAACATCAAGTCCATCCAGGAATTTGTTTACCTTGGCAGTGACATCCAGACAACAGAGAAAGACATCAAAATCTACAAAGGCAATGCCTGGAGTGTCCTTGGTGGTCTGAGCACCATCTAGAAGTCCTCTCTCTCTTTCTCTGACAATCTTAAGGAGGACATTTTTAAGGATAGGATAGAATTTGTCTTATGGCTCAACAACATGGACACTGATGAAACATCAAGAAGCATCACTTGACAGAACCTACACAAGGATGTTATGAGTTGCACTGGACATCAGCTGGAAGAAACACCCAACAAAGAGATGCCTGTATGGACACTTTCCTCCTATCTTGGTTTCACTAAGGGAGAGAAAGCTTTGGCTAGCTGGTCACTTCTGGAGAAGTCAGAACTTGTGAGTGACACCCTCCCATGGAACACAGTGTGTGGCAAAAGATCGGTTGGGAGACCTCATCACACCTACATAGACCAACTTGTAGATGACTCTACTATCTGGAGGACATTCCAACAGTGATGTTTGACGGATGTTTACAAGGAACAAGTCAGGAGCATCCAAGAAGAATTCTCGACCTGATGATGATTATATAGTGAACATTTCATTTAAAAATTGTGACTGGCTTACAACAATTGTCCATTTTAGTGATTAATCAAAGTATTTAAAATATTCTATTGCTTATTCAAAGATTTAAGTCAAGATCTTGTTCATGAACTAACATCTTTATGAGCAGAACCCTGACATTTACCATGCTGCCTAGAGCAATTGTTTGTGCTTTCTTTTTCAGGTACCCTGTTATATTATCTATTGAAAATCATTGCTCTCTGCCCCAACAGAAGGTTATGGCTCATCAATTCAGGACTATTTTGGGAAGTATCCTTTTCAATATACCCGAATATTTGTGTGGGCACGTTCAGTTACTGATATAATTTTGATATTTTGAAACCTATTAAACACAATTTAACTATTATAGTATTTAATACGCAGATAAAATTGATCTTTTTGCATCCCTGTGTTTTATTAATGACTGCAGTTATTTTGCAATAGTCAGAAGTTATCTATCTTGATGCTTTCTTTTTCTATCTTGTCTTCAATGTAAAATGTGGCTTGAAATTTACATGGCTGAAGCTAACTTCCAGGAAAGCAACTCCTTGCGCTTTCTTAGTTTTATGTTTTTTATTGACATCAAGTAAAATGATTATATTTAATCAATTGCTAGGTCTGCTGCTAAGAAGGTTGCACCAATGTGTCATGACAGACAATTTTTCTTGTCAGAATCTATCTTGCACATTTATAAATTTATGATTTATTCATGCATTGAGCATTGCTGTCATATCTGGTCTGGCACTTCAGGAATATATCTCAAGATTCTTGACAAAATCCAAAGAACGGTCTGTAATGTTATCAACCCTGACCTGGCATTTTGATTTCCATAACTTTCCCACTGCCATGATGTAACTTCCCTCTATTTTTCATGACATTTGTTCAAATGAACTCCCATCCTTGGTACCTTGACTGTATGTACTACTAGATTGGCAAGTAGGTCTCATCATTTTAATGTTGAAATAGCTAGATTTAACTATAATTTCTATTCTGATAGTTTTTTTTCTTGTACTTCTCACCTCTGGAAATCTCTTCTGATTTCTTGCTTCCTTGTCACCTACAATCTTCAAAAAATTAAATGTCAACAATTGCCATCTTCTTTCTTCCTGAATCCTGTTCTTTTATTTTTCTTTCTCCTCACCAAAGTCTCCTTCTTTCCTTCCACTCTCAGTAATCTCTTGCATCTTAGTGGCATAATCTCCTTGCTTGGGGTGAAATGATTAAAAAAAAAATTATATTGAAAACAGAAACTAATTAATTTTGATTCACTAACTGGTGACAAGAATTTTAGATTTTCAGCCATGGTAAAAAATGTTTAGCAAAGTTTGACTTGGAGTTATCCCATTGGGTCTTGTATTATTCCATCCAAAAATAAGTGTTATTTATCTGTATTGCTAAAATATTAACCTTATAGAATTACTTGCAACATTTCACCATCACAGAACAGACTTTCATCTACCATAATGGAGGTGTGTTCTTTCAAGGAGGCTCATTGTCTTGAATGCTTATTATATATCAAGCTCACCCCAGTGGAACTTTTATATCTAATCTATTGCTTAAGTTACTGAGAAAATGGTTGGTGAATTGTACTGACTTCCTCTGCTATACTCTATTTTTTATAAAAGCCAGATCGGACCAAAAATGAAATATTGCTGGATCTGCCCAGTCTGAGCTTACCTGTCTTGATATTTAAAAGCGTCTACACGGCCTTGTGGGTGATGAATCATTTTCCACTCTACAATCCCTTTCCCACAGATGAAATGTTGCAAACCTCTCGCTATTTCCATGGCAAATAGTTTGACTAGCTATATTCCTTGGTTCCATCAGCTCTGACCTGTGCAGCTGGGACCCACCATGCCACCTACACAGAGATGAATCCTCCTCATTTCCTTCATATTCCATTAATAAGAAGTAAGTTTCACTCTGACAGTTTCTCCCCAAGAACTGCAGCTTTTTGGAATAGACTCGTGGCAGAATGTTTTCCTGATTATTACAATCTTGACCTCTTCAGGTTTAGGGTTAACCATTAGCTTTCTTATACAACCTGATGAACTACACTTCTTGATTTTCCTCAAGCTCACAGTAACCCTCTACCTTGAGTGTCTCTTGAGCCTTTTATTGGGTGAATATTAGTTAAAAAATAAAATAAATGGTAATTGGTATATTCTGTGTATTAAATTTGTATGCAAATGTAACTATTATGGGATACAGGTAGTATTTTTAAATATTAATAAGTTTATTTTAACTTTTGAAAAAAATGGTTTCATTCATAATTAGCATTGTTGGAATTTTTTACATTTAAAATTTTGGATGTAAATAATGCAGTGCATGTTGTCAGTGTAGTAGATATTTTTGTCAGTGATTGTATTTACATGTATCTCCAAAAGTGAATAACTTAGTGAATGATATAATAAATTTGAAATTTTTTTTAATAGTCATAACTCCTACTTACTACTATTTAACAAAATTACTTTGAAATTACAACACTTTGTACTTCTAGTATCTTGAAAAACTAACTGCCATCAGATACACTGATAGAAACTAAAGAACTTTAACATGTACAATACATGCCTAGTGGATTTGTGAATTTTTATGTGATATTACTATTCAAATTGTTAAAGACTATATACTAAAGACTATATACTAAAGACTATATACTAAAGACTATATACTAAAGACTATATACTAAAGACTATATACTAAAGACTATATACTAAAGACTATATACTAAAGACTATATACTAAAGACTATATACTAAAGACTATATACTAAAGACTATATACTAAAGACTATATACTAAAGACTATATACTAAAGACTATATACTAAAGAACTTTAAATTCATATATGGGATTTTTTTTCTCTAAAGTATGTTCTTTAAAATCATAAAAATAGAAAAATGACTTTTTTAATTATTTGATATCATTAACAAAATATTTCTTAATACATTTAACACCACCTCAGTTTTTACAGCTTAAAAACATCAATCAATTTGAAGATTGTGTGATATAAAACAATGAAACAATCAGCTTTTCCTTTTAAGAGAAAATTAGGTGGATATTTTATGGGACTTAGAAAACGAAATAGAGAAATATATAAATTTACCTTAATTATTTGTGTATAATACACAACTCAAAATTTGGATTTTAAAATTCTCACAAAAAAAATCTCTCTAGGATAATATACATTGGTATTTTAGAATTTTTAGCAGTTAGATTTAATCTAAATTGAACATTTCTCTAACCTTTTTCTCCAGTTCATATCACCTAAAAATTAGGATCTAGATAATTTACATTGTGTTTTGAAATAAAAAAAAAAAAAAGTATATAAAATATTTAGAACAAATGGATGGACATGTTAAAAAAAATATTCAAGAAACTTGCAAAGTAAATAAGCTCACACAAGGAGAAAACAAATAAAAGGCATACATTTCAGTGGTTAGTGGTTATTTCTCTGTAGTGATGTAAAACAGAAGAAGACATTAACACTGTTTAATTTCTGAGGAAGAAGGATAAAATAACTCTGTGGAAGATGATTACATTGCAGATGACATATAATCTCTACTGACAACATAGATAATTGAAACTGTCAGGATATCTGGACAGCAGTAAAAAGCAGACAGAAATGTGAATATTTTTTTCTCGAACAAATGCAGTGTTTGCTTACCGATTTTAAACTCTTTATTGCACATTAGCTAGTTTGGACCATAGATATAAGTTATGGTTGGTCATACTATTCCAAATATGGTGATGCATGTGGGTTTTAATATTTAGTTCTCTTGTAACAATACACACACCAAACATTTAGGTTTAAAAATCAGATGGAGGGAGTGCATATTATACAAAAATAATTACAGCAAACACTATCCGTGTATATTAGATTAATAATCACTTGCTGAAATTTCAAAGAAAATGGGAGCTAAAAGGACACTTATATTTAAAATCAGAATGAAACAGTTAAAATTTCTAGGATTCAATGAGGAAAGAAGGCTTGGCAATATTACAAGCAGGAGGAGCAGAGGAAAACAGTTAACAACCAACCTTCTGTAAATGGATGAAATTGGGGACAAAGGAGGATGGTAAAGAAGCAAACATTACTTAGAACCACAAAAGACAGGAAGTTGTGGAGAGCCATGATCAACCATATCCTGAAGAGACATGATGCATAAAAGAAGAATAATGATAGAAAAGTGTATCATCTATAGAAAATTACATTACAAAGCATATTAAAATGATGAATGCAATTATAACAAGAGAGAGAGCTATGGTAGAAAGGATTATTCTCTCATTTATATTTCTCCCATTATAGGCATTATCAAATCCATGATGTAATAACACCTTACTTCATGAATGGAACAGAATGGCTGAAAAGAAAAGGAATGACAAACGTACTTTGTTCTCAGAGAGACTTTTATACTAATAAGACATACACAAAACCACACACACACATATATATATATATATATACACACACACACACACACACACACACACATCCTATGTGGAAAACAATCTATCATATATATCTACACAGCAAAGCAGTGTATAAGGAGAAGTCATGTTTAGGACTCCAGATTCATCTACGTCCCAGGCAAGGACATATTCCATGAAGGGGAAATGGTGAGTCTTGTGTTTTCCCAAATTGAGGACTGTGAGCTGGAGTTTCTTTCTATATCTGGGAAAGATATATTCCCAACAGAAAATAGCAACACGGACTTGTAAGCTGTAACACTTGGCAGCAAGCTGCCCCAGGCAGAAGCCCAGGCAAGATGAACAAACATGTCTCTTGACACTAATAAACTTACTGGCTGAATGACTAGCGACTCTTGTCACTGTATCAAGTGAAGTCACTAAGTGGTCCGTCACATGACCAATGTGACTTATCTCCACCAAAGGGAGATAATCACCTTTTGTATCCCTACACAATCACATAACTATTTTAATGAGACAATGATACTTACATAAGGAACCAATCACATGAAATAATTGTACATAAACTAACATTGAGTTAATGTTTAACTTTAAAAGCTTTTAGGCACATAAACCCAGAATTGAATAAAGAAATATAAAATAATTAGGCTTATTTTGTTGTGCATTCAATTATCTTGTTTAAATATCCTTAATAATTATAGATCTCTTGTATGTTCATGACAATAATGCTCCATGTCCATCCCCTACTGATTTGATGAACAGAATTCTCCTGAAGGTATGTGGTATGAAATTTCCTTTTTCACAAATGTAGAACATTATTTTACATGTGTTTATAATTTAGTTATTTTATTCAGCTTTTTAAGACTTTGCTCAGTTGATTGTGTGAATGTTTTGCTTCTAGTTAGTTTGATTCAATGTTGTTTTTGAAGATTGAAATACAATTAACAAAATAAAATGTTTGTGAGCTGGTATTTTAATTTATACTGAGTTGGTTTTATCAATGTTTAAGGTTTATAAAATACTTTTTCTTTGATTTTTTTTAAATTTCAAGAAAATCTTTTTTTTTTTTTTTTTTTAATCAGGAAGTGGATATTCCAAGAAAAAGAAAAAAATCCCACTCAGTATTTATAAAGAATATTTCTTTATAAACTAAAGATATTTAAAATATGAATAATACATCAGGTTTTGATATAAAGCAAGAAAAAGCTGTATGTCTAAGGTCAAAAAAGCATACAGATTTTCTGTTATTTTAATTGAAAATGTTCAAAACTTCATAAACTTAAAATTTAAACATTTGTTACAAAGAAAAGAGTCATTTATATGATTTTTTTTTTTATATATTCATTATATTTTAGATACAGCACAGATTTTATTTTTGGGATTTTTCAATCCAGTACTAATTGGATTGAAGTATAACCTCAATTTTATATCTACAATTCTGAGACAGTTTATATTTTAATAAGAGAAAAAAATTAGCTTTAATTTCATATAAACAAAAAAAAAAATCTTGTAAATATTACTTCCATTAAAACATGTTATTTCATTGTTATAAACCTAAGGTAAATTTAAATAATTTACTCCATTTTGAATTATTACATTTTCAAGATGTGAATATGCATGAAAATTAAAATGTTTAATCCAAGTTAAACATGAGAAACTAGCTAATAAGACTTCTTGAATGAAATTTCTTTGTTCTCCAAAAAAAATAAGAAAAACTATCCTGATCCCAAATGTCTACAATGATTGGATTTAGCATTTATTGAATATTGCAGTTAAGTTTACAGTTGCTATTTTTTTCATATTTTTGGTAGTCACAAATGTATTTCTGAAAGATCATAAAATGATGCAATTGATTTTTAATATTTTGAAGACAATTGAAATAAACTTTAAAATAAAAGTAAACCAACCATAACTTTGGTTTATTCAATGCTAATTTTCTCAGTTCTTCCATTTTGGTTACTATTACCTTCTCCTCTTTAGTATTTTTTCTTTGTGAAATTAAAATACAGAAAAATGAACTTGTGTATGCAGTATTTAAAAAAAAAAAAAAAATTCAATCATATGTCTGTGTAATTTTCATTACCCTTTTTCATTCCTGCATGTTCGATCTTAGTCCATGATGTGAAAAGCTTATGTTATCATTGCATTAACTCAAATGCTTTTGTGATTACTATGTTTATCTTGAATCCAAGTAAATGCAAAACTATCAAACAAAAACAAACAATATGAACATATGTAGCTGTTATCTCTCCATAATTTACCAACATTACATTGATTTATTTATTGAGAAATGGGCTTTGTTGTAGAATTATTTATATGGATTTTGGATCCTATAAGAGCTAGCATTATGTAGGTAGATTTATTTATAAGAAAAATAAATAATTATATCCTTTGATGGTAATCATTTCTGTTCATTACTAGTGTGTGTGTGTGTGTGTGTGTGTGTGTGTGTATATATATATATATATATATATATATATATATATATAAGAAATATAGTCTTAAGGTGTGCTATATTTATGGGATAAAGTGCTCAATATCAGAGATAGAGCGTGTGTAAATATAAAAGTGAACATAGAAGTCAACACTTAGAGGCGACAGTCTGTTTCATGCTGTTTCAAAACAAAAAAATAAAAACGAGCAATATAATTTGACCCAAATAAATAAACAAAGCGACTTCCGGTAAAAATAACCGCCATAATAGAATACCCACAATGCACCACTAACCCGTATATATATATAAATAGCCGAGAAAAATAACAGCATATGTGGCCTGACGATTGCATATAGCATGAAACAGACTGTCGCCTCTAAGTGTTGACTTCTATGTTCACTTTTATATTTTTTTATATATATATATATATATATATATATATATATATATATATATATAAAATGAAAGAACAGTAAGATATATAACCTGGTGTTTTTATTGATGTTTTATTTTTTACAAAATAGTGCTCAATGTAAACTTACAGAGCATTAATATTATGGATTAACTAGTTTAAAATGTTTTTTTTTCACTACACAGTAATGACCATGTTTCAAAAATGGAAGCTAAAAGCTTCAAATTTAATTTTGTAATTAAATTAAAAACATTAGTTTCATTTCATCCTCAAGCGAATTTTAGACTCCTAAATTTGCTTGAGGATGAAATGGAAGTGTTTTTAATTTAATTACAAAATTAAATTTGACGCTTTTAGCTTCCATTTTTGAAACATAGTTATTACTGTGTAGCAAAAAAACATATTTTAAACGAGTTAATTATATATATATATATATATATATATATATATATATATATATATATATATATATATATATATATGTTTTCTTTATTTGGTTTTGATATCACAATATATTATTTTTAAATTATTTTTTTTAATGACATGTTTTCTTTGAAGAAATAAAATTGTTTAACATGTACAAGAGACAAGCTATTACTTATCATTTAAGAAACATGTTATACAAAAAAAAATAAAAATAATTATGTTAAAATCAGATAAAGGAAATTGTATCATTATATTACATAATGTGTCATTATATTCTTACATAAAGAACATGGATATCTGTGGTAGAATGACATTTACAGTGTTAGACATATTTATAAATACTTTGTTTATTCTCACAGTTCAAGAGTTAATACAAATAACATTGTTTTGTCATGTATAGAATATTTCTAACAGCTTAGTTCCAAATTTCTATCTATTTTTTAATATATAAGATTTTAGATTGTCAGTCAAAATTGACAAAAGCTAACTTAGTAATTTCCATTTATTTTAAAGCAATGTAATTTTGGGGATGTAAAATTCAGTTTTGTAGTTACCAATGACTAGAAACTCTGTTATTGACAGACTAATGTATGTTAATAATTTGCTGAAAGCTGAAAAAATCTGGCAAACTTGGACCTTTTTATGCGTGCAAAAAAAAAAAGAAAATGAAGTGTCAAAAGTACTGTTTTTTCATTGAAAATGTTATTATTTTAACTACCTTCACTACTCAGCAATGTTTATTGTTTTTAAAAAGCAATGATTAGCATTGTAATGAAACCCAAATCTATGATGAAAGTGAATTTATACATTTTTTTGTTCTTGAAAATAAAAATAATAAACACTTTTTATTAGATCGTTTATTTACACTATTTTATTAGATTGTATATTGGAATGGTTGGCAAAACATTGTCTAATTGCCAATTGATTTGAACTTTATAAAATTTTTATTTATTATTATAATAGTTGGTTCATATATTTTAAGAATTTTGTAAATATTTTATAAATTTATGAATAAAAAATTGTCTTCATATTTATTTCTTTATAAGTTGGTAAATGATAAGTAATTGCATTGTATTAGTCTTTAGAATATTGTAAATATAAAATTATTCTTGTGAATAAAAAATTTAATAAAAACTGTTTAATATTTTTGTTGTAAATTCTCAAGAAAATGTGTATAAGTTTTAGAATGAGTTTAGGTTTTATTACAATTCTAATCATTGCTTTTTAAAACAATAAACATTGCTGAGGAGTGGAGGTAGTTAAAATAATAGCAGTGTCAAAGGAAAAGCTGTCTTTCTGACACCTCATTTTTTGTGGGCATGATGGTCCAAGTTTGCTGAAAATCTTTCATGATATTTTAAAACAAAACTATGCTTGCATCTGAAGGAGATGAAAGCATTTTTCTTTTTTTTCTGATAACTTGAAAAAGCAATTGTTCCAAGCTTGTCTTCATCTAAATTAATGAAAATGCGCAACAAATGGTACTTATAGATAAGGTAGAAAAGGAAAGTGGGAAGAAAGGACTAATCATCAATTGTAAAAAGATAGAATGTACAGTTGTCAGCAAGAGGAATAGTCCAAAATGGGGGCTATAAACTAGAGATGCACACAAGTACAAGAATTTAAATATTTGAGTGTCATAATAGATGACTAAAAATGGAACACAAATTAAAAGGCACGTTTAAATAGTGGAAGGTTCTTTCCAAAATCTAAGAAAAGTATTAAGAAACATGAAAATTTCATTAGAAACAAAGAAGAGTTCTGAACTGCTATTTAGTATCAGGCCTCCTATATAGCAGTGAATGCAGGACAATTTCCTTACAGATAGCAAAGATACTTGAGGTAACAAATGTAGTTCTTGAGAAGAATGCTGAGAATACCATGGATGATGCATATGAGCAATGAGGAAATTTTAAGGAATTTTTTAACAAAAAGTACATTTATATTTAGAATTAGAAAGTGTTGAAATGTTTGAGATACATAATGAGAAAAGACAGTTTGAAGAATTTTGACACTAACAGGGAAAGAAAGAGGAAACCATGGATGGCAGAACGGTTTGTGGAAGAGAAAATAAGACATTGTTAAGAGCTACAAAGAATAGAAAGTTCTGGAGAGTCATTATCGCACATATTGTCAAGGGACATAGCACAAAAATGAATTCTTTTTTTGGTTGCCAAATATTTAAATTAATAGCTTATAAGTAAAAAAATTTGTTTTAGGAATAATGAATTTTGTTTAAATTTTATTATTTAATGCACAGGATTTCTTCAGGATAACGGTAAACTATAACTAAGTTAGGTTACAAAATACGCCCTCTCTCAGTTTACAGGGAAATAAAATTGTAGCTAATATGCTGCTGTTTTGACTTGATATGAATATAACTTTGTATCTTACACTGTTATTTATTTAAGGTGCATAGAATTTAATGTAATGTAATTTAATTTATCCAGTGCTCTCCTACAGGTGTTATTTACTAATAAAAGGAAGTTGTCTCCCCATACAC